GGGGGACCAGGGGCGACGGGGCGGGGGGGCCTGCCATGTCATCGAAGGGGCGGGGCCTCCAGATCGTGTCTGGCCCAGCGGGCCACTTTAAAAAGGCCCACCAGCAGAGAGCAGGGGGGCAGCCTCCTCCCAGGGAGGTAGAGACGTACCGGGGCCCAGGACGACCGGGTGCGTGCCTGAGACCGGCAGGTGGCCCGTTCCTAACCCAGGGGCTCCCGGGACGGCCCCCGCGGCTGGCCAGCCCCAGGTCGGAGGATGACCAGGACAAACCCCGCCGCCCATGGAAGGAGCGGCTCGGCCGGGACAAGATCCGCGGGAACAGAAGGACCCACGGGACTCCTGCGGAACGACCTCAGACCTGGAGCCCAGAATCCCGGTAAGCGCAGGGGTACTCCAGGGGCCAGGGGAAGGGAGGAATCAGCCCGGGGTGGGGGCCTTCTGGCAACAGTAGGGAGATGTGTTACGGGAGGAAACACCCCCCGTCTGCCGTGCAGGGATGACCGCGAGCCCCTGCACTTAAGACCCCGGGCTGGGACCCGGAGAGAGGGTGGGCCCGGGTCCCCCTCCCAACCTCCCACGAGCACCCAGCCCCTTCAGAACTGGAACGCACACAAACGTGCGAACTGTGGCGGCCGGACGGCAGGGCTGGCCAGGGCATCGCCCCTCGGAGGGGCAAGACTCGGGGCGCAAGCCCCCTCCCCCCTGCTAAGGCGGGGTATAGACATGGGGGCCACTGAACCCCCCTCTCCTGCCCTGCAAGGAGGGGGTGATCGCACCCAGCTTACGGGACGCACGACCGAGAATCCCGGCTGGGGGCCTGGTTAGAGGATGAAGGGGTTCGCTGAGTCTCCCTGCCCGCCCGGTAGGGGGTGATCACACTCCATGACTCATCTACAGTTTCATTAGAAGGAGCATTGCCAGCAGATCCAGAGATGTCATTATTCCCCTTTATTCGGCTCTGGTGAGGCCACATCTGGAGTATTGTGTCCAGTTTTGGGCTCCCCACTACATAAAGGATGTGGATGCATTGGAGAGGGTCCAGTGGAGGGCAACCAAAATGATTAGGGGGCTGGAGCATATGACTTATGAGGAGAGGCTGAGGGAGTTGGGTCTGTTTAGTCTGCAGAAGCGAAGAGTGAGGGAGGATTTGATAGCAGCCGTCAACTTCCTGAAGCGAGGTTCCAAAGAGGATGGAGAAAGGCTGTTCTCAGTAGTGACAGATGGCAGAACAAGGAGCAATGGTCTTAAGTTGTGGTGGGAGAGGTCCAGGTTGGATATTAGGAAAAACTATTTCACTAGGAGAGTGGTGAAGCACTGGGATGGGTTAGCTATGGAAGTAGTGGAGTCTCCATCCCTAGAGGTGATGGCCTTGACAAAGGCTTGACAAAGTCTCGGCTTGACAAAGCCCTGGCTGGGTTGATTTAGTTGGGATTGGTCCTGCCTGGAGCAGGGGTCTGGACTTGATGACCTTCTGAGGTCTTTTCCAGCTCTATGGTTCTATGATTCTATGAGTGCTCAAACCACTGAGCTAAAAGTGTTGGGGGGAAGGAAAGTATGTACCCACTAGCCATCTTTTTCTGTATTATTTTGTGTAGCGTGAGGCAGACACCTACCTCATTTCTGCAAAACACATCTCACCTGCCCAAGCTATCTGACTCCAGGCAGCCAGTTCCCATTCATGAAATGCCAGGCAGAAATAGGCACCTGTCTTCAAGTGAGGAGCGAGATTTAGCCTACACTCCTCTCACCAGCATCTCCCATTGGCTAGCTTAGAGCATGTCTACACTAGGAAATTATTTCGAAATATCTATTTTGAAATAAGTTTATTCCCCGAGGAAAGCAGGAGTACAGATTTCAAAATAACCAGCCTGTTGTTTTGAAATAATGGGCTTGGTAGTGTGGATGCTCCACTTGTTATTTCAAAAAAAGCGGGTTAGGAGGCTCCTTGCTCAACATGCTGGGTATTGTGGTTTGTAGTCTAAGGTGCCTGTCTCTCCCCATTCATTGTACCGGAGCCTAGGTGCCCAGCTCAGGGTTTGTGGAATGCAGTGTATTCCTGTGCCTAAAAGCAAGGCATTGTGAGGCTCAGCATTGCAATGCCCAAGTCCCTTTGTGGATGCCAACCACTTACTTTGTGAATGACTTGCTCAAACCATCTTGTATCACCAGTTAGGGAGTTGCCAGTACGTCCAGAAAAGACACTCTTTTAGAGCTGATTCAACCATTCTTTCCTCGCCAGATAAACTTAATTCCATCCAGGGTTAGTGTCTGAGTGCTCCTTCCAGACAAGACGTTAGCTTTTAAGGGCTAACTCCACCATTGTACTTAAACGCTGCAATACTGCATGTTGCAACACTTAATCCTTAGGTATTCTGCTGCCTAGTGGAACCTCAGCCCTGAGTTAAGCGTGGGGAGACTTAGATGCCTGAGAAAGGATTTCATAGAAGCCTACATGCTGATAAGGGGGGGGAATGACTAAGGCTGCCAGAAGAGAAATTGAGAGGAAAGGGCCCAGATTCATAAAGGTGCTTAGGTTCCTAACTCCCATTGATCTGGGTATCTGACTGATGGGCTAGAGGGAGGCACCTATCTTCACTTCTCAGCTGTGAACCTCTCCTGGAATTAGGTGACCAAAGCCAGGTTTCTCAAAAAACCTCACCCCATTCGAGTACTCATCTAAATCCTGGTCTCCCATATAAGTGTCCTGGCCACTGGACTATGGATTATTCTGAAGTGGCCTCAAGTTCTCATATTGGTATGGTATAAATAATTTAGTCCTTAGGGTACAAATGTGAACTTGTGTCTCTCACAGTACAAGTGAGTGTTCAGAGCTGGGACATGGACAAGGATACACACGCCTGATCCTGAAAAAACCCAACTCACCCCAGTTGTCATATGTGAAGGCCTCAATCCTGTAAGCATGCACTGAGAACACTGATCCCCACAGGCAAGAGAGATGGGGAAACATCTGCTTGAGAATCCTGTTTTGGGATGCTAAGTTTCAGTGAGGCCCTGAGCAGCTATTCAGCTGTGGGAAGATTCTGTGCTTAGGCAACTTTGCACACACCCACTGGTGAAAACTGTGTCCCTCTGGGGTCAAGAGGCAGCTGAGCAATGGATTTGAGAACATCAGCAGTGTCTTAACATTGGACTTAGGCTCCTAAAGAGGCAGTTGGGTCCCTAAGTACTATTGTGGATCTAGCCATAAGATCCTGCGTCTTCTCCATAGACATGGAAGTTGTCATAGTACTTTTAGGCCATGTCAAACCAAAACTCTGGGTTACAGCATCCAAACATTTTGGATCAGGATCCAAACTTCTCATCACAGACCCACTGCCATTTATGATGAATAATTACAAGAACAATGTCACAAATACAGGATTGTGACTTCAGCTGAGGAATAGGTGGCAGGAGTAGGGAACAAAGATGACAGACCTAGCAACAATTTCATATTAGAATAAAATCAGTCTCCTGCACTCCTCTTACACTTGCCTATTCTCTGTCCCTTTATACAGTCTCACCCCTGTTCGTTCAAAAACTTTCGCTTTGCCTCTGCCACCAGAAATAGCCTCCTGGTCTCTCTCCATGGTATTGACAAACTTCATTTCAAAGTATCTTTTCCCACCATTCAGACTCTCTCTTTGCTTACATTTAACCCTATGACTGCATTATTTAACATTGTCATGCCTTTTAGGCAGTCAGTGATATGAAAGATGCAATACAGAATATATTATTTTTTAATTTATTGCTTTGTCAAGACTGCACCAATATGCTAAAAAAGAGGCAACATTGCCTGTTGATAAGATGCTTTCTAAAAGTGTTCTATGAAGCCTGAATTGCTGTTTAATCAGTTGTATAATTAACAGCTTTGGACATTGCAGACATTGTCATCAGTTCTATCATTTTTCTCGATTATTACTATTGGACCTCAAGCCCCAGTTGAAGCCAAGGCCAGTTAATAAGGACCATGGCCTTCCCCAAAGCACTCATTACAATGCTGTGAACCAGATGTTCCTGCCTTTCCTCCAGCAGCACATAGATCCTACAGATAACAGGGCTGAGACTTACTATACAGCCTGCAACTTAAAATCTGTACCAGCTAGACAGCTTTTAAATCTTAGGCAAAGAAGTTAATCTTATTGGACAGTTTCCACTTTGCAGCCCCACCTTCCTCTCAAGCATAGTATCACTTTTAACACCTCATATATTCTCTACTGTGAATCAAACCCTGTAATGGCAGAGGACTGGATACACTGACCAAATAGGTTTCCCATCTCTACTACCTCGGAGCCTGTTGAGAGTTTCTTTCTTTTGGTGTATGCCTGCAAATATAGTCAGTATAAGGATGGGGATTCTGGGCAAGAGGTGAATGCTTCTCTCCTAGCTCTTTTGACTATAAACTTTTAACAGTATTTTGGCTCTAACATGGCTCTTTTCATCATCTGAAAATGTCAAAGAACATTATGTCACATTGGACCTCACAAAAACTATGGGATGCAAGTATGCATTTTCCCCACTATACAGAGGAGGATACACAAAGCATAGAAAAGTTATGTGATACCCTTGTCCATGCTATTATTAGTTCCCACAATAGAAGAACTAGAGGACACCAAATTAAGTTAATAGGTAGCAGGTTTAAAACTAATAAAACAAAGTTCTTCTTCACACAGCGTGTAGTCAACCTGTGGAACTCCTTGCCAGAGGAGGCTGTGAAGGCTAGGACTATAACAGAGTTTAAAGAGAAGCTAGATAATTTCATGGAGGTTAGGTCCATAAAAGGCTATAAGCCAGAGGATAGAAATGGTGTCCCTGGCCTCTGTTTGTCAGAGGCTGGGTAAGGATGGCAGAAGACAAATCGCTTGATCATTGTCTTCGGTCCACTCTCTCTGGGGCACCTGGTGCTGGCCACTGTTGGCAGACAGGCTACTGGGCTAGATGGACCTTTGGTCTGACCCAGTATGGCCGTTCTTATGCTCAGTGAGATAGCCAAGTTCATTCATCTGAGGAAGTGGGCTGTGCCCACAAAAGCTCATGATACCATCTACATGTTTTGTTAGTCTCTAAAATGCTGCAAGATTAGGTATTGTTTTTTAAGTTTTTTCATGCTCACTGAGTCAGTGCATAAGCTGCAAATAAAACTGATGAGTCCTAACACTCAGTTCTCTACTCTGATCATTAGACGCTCTGCTAGACAACAGTCCATATAGCAAATTGCCACCTGCTATACAGGATCTAATAGGGGAAAACTAAAATAATCCAGAAAAGAATATGGCAAATCAAAAAGGAATAATACAATCTTGCTGAAAAAAACATGAGTATTTATCTTGCAAATTTCTCTCTCTGAGATGTGGTAAATGATCTGCTTCTAGAACACTG